CACAATATCTTCCTTAACACTTTGAATTCCCAAAATCTTTTTATCAGTACACTTCTCACGCTTAGATGTTGTTTACATTTTCTAACACTGATCTTTCGAATTAATTTTTTTCTCACCGATAATATAAGTCAATTTGTTTTGTTGTTTGAAACCACGTCCTATTAATCTTCTTAATTGCTTTGCTTTTCGAAATAAGTTCCACCTTTCTATTACTTCTTGCTTCAAAACTATTCGTAAACCTCTACGGTATGGTGTTAGTAAGAGTAAGTTGTCCGTCATTTGTCGGTGATTATCGTTATAGTTCGTTTCTACATCATCTAATTTTACATGACCGCTAGTAGACCATTCTGTTGTGCATCATTTTTTTGTCTGAAAAAGGTATTGTCAGGCCCTGGAATTCGTCTGTCTAGCATGGAATTTATTCTTCGTTTATCTTATCAAACATGATATGTATGAGCTAGTTCGCTGGATGTTTGTTGCCGCGCTTGCATACCCGTGACATCTGCCAAATCTTGTCTGTCACAATTGACACACCTGTGCGTGTGCTCGCGACTGTGCGTATATGTCTGACCTTCTCTCAACGATGCTCGCCGCTGTCTTTACATCTCGTCACCTGATTATTCTCTGCTCTCTCTATCTCTACTCGTTCCGTTTTTTACAGTATCAGTTATTTAGAAATAATTGCATGTTCTTTAAATTTACTTTTATATTATTCGGCTTGTATTGCGGTACAGATGAGGTGTGTGTTATGTCTGAGTTAGTCTCCTGCACTTATTGTGACTATTTCTGCTCAAATTTTACTAATCTTTGCCAAAATTTTTTTCTATTTCGCACTATTATAATATCTTTTATCGAAAAATTTTATTATTTTTCGCATTTTTCGTATTTTGAAACTCTTGTATATTAAGCTTTTGTATTGTGTGCATTACTTCGTTTATTGTTCATCGGAGACAGAGTCTTCGTAGTCTCTATCGTCGTCTCAATTATGCATCGATCAGTTGTCATTTACACCGATTCACCCTTCCCCGTATCTCCTCAGAGGCCTCTATACTATCGTTATCGTTTGTCTTATTTCTAGAGCGTTCACCTCGCTAGTTATCCTTTCGTCATCTTCGTCTACTCGTCTTGGACTATCATCTCGTGCTCATTTGCATCCGTTGCTTCGCTTGCGTGCACCTTGAAACTTATGTCTATCATATTCTGACCAATAATATTTGCAAAAACCTTTTTTGTATCTATTTTTTTGACTCTAATTTACTCTAACTTATTCTTCTAACCTTTCTCCGATTTTTATATTTTACGAATATTTTTTTATATTTTAAAATCATTTTTTAATTTTTATATTATTATAATTTTCCATGTTATATAATTTGATCGATTTTATTATAATAATTTTCCATGTATTATTTTAAGTTGATAATATTTGACTTTTTTATATTTCTATATATTAATTTTATCATTTGATAATCTTTTTCCAAATTTTTGTATATATATTTCGGGAATTTATGTTATTTGAGAGTATATATATCAAAAACTTTTTTCTGTATATCAGATTGTGCAGATCATTCACTTAAATTTGTTCTTGCCAGAGACATTAATTCCTCGCAACTAAGATTTGCGGCTCAAAACTCTATATATCGCATGTCAACAACCCGATCTAATGACCGTTCGTCTCAAGGAAACTTGTATACGATACATGGTTCGACTTGCGCTCTTCTACGACTATGCTTTTTTCTATGTGTGCGGGGTATCCAATACCTCTTCGTCTTCTCCTATAGTCTCTCATCAAAAAAAACTGCTCGTAATTCTGCTCATATTTCATTGTTCTGTTCTCATGCAATAGTATTTGTTCTTAATGTACTAGAACAATTATTAAACTATATATTTTTAATTAGCGATTCTTTTATATATTTCTTGCGCTTCTTACTAATCTCCCATTTTGTCAGCTTTAAACTCAATGACGCCTACATAAATGCCAAAAGTAAAATATTGCAAAAAGTACTGTAGTGATAAGTTCAGAGTTTTTCTCTAAATAGCAAATCTATTCTCAGCAACACCTATGATCTATTAATATATTAACAATTAATTGAATAGTTTCAGGCGTAATTTCATGGCCTTGAAGTTAACCTTTTAGCCTATTTATTATTTTTATCATTTTTATAAAATCGCAGGAGTAACCTATTGAATGTGTAACAGCGACTGTGCCTTATTCTCTTATCCAAAACGGTCCCTCTAAGTTAAATCTCGGTTTCGGAAGAGAAAAAAAGTTGCTAATAGTTATTAAATACTTTTGCAGGTTCATTAATGCTTAAATGTTGCACAAGCCGTTACCAAAGAAAGTGAGAAAGTACATCTGTTGTTTGCACTACTAGTTTATTTTATTGTAGTTCTGTATATAAAATAAAAATATGTTTCAACATTTTTGCTTCTTTTAATACATGGTTAAAATACAATAATATTCCTCAATTTAATGGAATTTTTAAACTGTTAAATTATTTGCTGGTAGGCGCTTTTTCTTCCACTCTAGTATTCTGTTCACCATAAATAAAATCATCTGTGTTAGGATTAAACCTCTGCAATTCATATTTTAGAAACTCGCCTACATAACAAAATCAGCTGTTCCTCAGCGTGATTTATTTTACTCTTCCATTAAGGAGAGGCACAACTGTATCAACGAAGAGAAACAATGTGCATCCTAAAAATAAAATTTTTTGTGGAATAGAAATTAAATTCAATGGATGAATAATAAATGATAGAGTGTTTAAGAATCTCACAGAGAAAATTTCACAATAACAAGACCTAATGCCATTTGCCAGAATATGCAATATATGATTTAGCCCCAAGCTGCAAAACTATCTTGTTGTGACAAAAATCATTCCATTGATGGAGGGTCAGTAGCAATTTAATAAAAGTCTTATGAAACAATTAAAGGACATTCAAATAATCAATCTCTTGTGATCAAGACCAAAATCATAATGCATATGCTTAACCAATGTTTGGAAATGACAAACTTTGGTTGTTAGAACAAGTACACCAGTAAATCTCTCGTTGCAATGACACCACGGAGCAGGTGAGATTGCTAGCACCAACCAAAATCGTGTACGTAGCATGAACTGCCACCTTGTTTGTAACAGTGAAAATGTAATAATTACGCATTTCCACCACAATCGAACACGATGCTGGAAGTATTGTCTCTCCATTTGATTTTTTTAGTCATTTGTTTGCTATGAACATGCAATTTTTAATATGCAGCCCCCTTCTGAATTGGCTCCTCAGGTGGAGAACTTTCCTGCACACTGAATAATGTTATACTTGTTACTCTATAAGTTGTTAAAATATTTTCCAAGTGGGAGGCATGTTTACAGTCAAACCACACACCTTCACCACTGCATGGAGGTTTCATATACCAGTCAATCCATGTGGAATTTGTGGTTGTGGAGTTTGTGGGCATAATTTTAAGGGAATCTCCCATTTGCTCCCTGTCCTCGCTTCCACCATGCTCCATCGTTTTCATGTCTTCTTTATCATCGATATCTTCGATTCATTCATGTAGGTATACGCCTTAATAGCTTAGCACTTACATTAATAAAAAGAATATTCTTTCCAATTATTTAGTAACCAAGAGAACAAATCGGCCCCGAACCCATCTGCTTTCCTCCTCTTCCGCTTGGAAAGGCAACGGGACGAGAACACCATATCTGATGATTGTCACCAGTTAGGAAAACGCAAGGATAGATTTGGCTGCTGTGCGTTATTAAAGAGAATTCTCCCAGAATAAAAAGCTCCCACGCTCTGGTATAAGCCCCAGGTACTAAAAATAACATAAAATACATTGTTGAACATGTAAAATGTTTGTTGAAAGGTAATGGTGTGTAAAATTGAATTTAACTTCAGTTTTTAAATTGCAGCTTGTGTTTCTACAATGTACCATACTGCTCACTTAAAGCAATGTTGAAAAACCTCTGCTAGTTCACAAATCAAGTGGTTCAGAGGCAGTAAAAAACTTTGATAGAATACGCTCCCTATGGAAACGCACAAATTGGCCGGTCGAATATGTAAGGGGGGGCAAGGTCAAGCAAGCAAGAAACAGAAATTTTGCCCGTAATCAGTTTGGGTCTAATTCATATGCTGAATTTTTTGCAGGGTAAGAGTGATAAATTCACGAAATCAAAGTATATCAGACTAGTTGTATGTTGTTAATTTCATAATTAAAGTAATGGTTCCATCATTCATCATTCAATGAAAACTCTTTTATTAATTCCCTTGTCAAATCAAAATTTGATGTATTGTTCTTCTAGTCTGCGTCACAAATGCTGAATATCTTTAGCAAAAGATTTAGAACGAGTTAACATTTATCTCTCTTATGTAGCTTCAAATTAATAAATCCTAATCGAGGTATAATCATGACTTACAGTGAAATACTAGCTATTTGCAAATACCAACTTTCATCCTTGAGAATTAGCTACACGACGTGTTCATTAATTAATAAATTATTGACTGGAGAAAAATTAAAAGACATTCACTTCGAAATATGTATCAATTGTAGACTATCCCAATTACACAATGCGAAAGCATCTACTTCTACTGATGAGAATTTGACCTGTAAACCGACTATTTCTATAATTCTGCTATACCCACGTTTAGCCAGATCACCAATACATGTATGAATAAATTGATTTGACTGAAATACACGTCAATAGCTAAAAATGATCAAACAAACTTCATATTTAGATTCACCTGAAGATA